TTCGTCAGTATATTAAGTTTCGGGGCATCCTTGTCTGCAGCGTATAAGACAGACAACATATGAGTATCTGCCATGCACGTGCTGCATGGTGTTCCCATGTGTGATGGTAGTATCCATGTTGAAGGTCTGACATGTCTTGCAGAGGTTGCCATGGCAGGGTTGTATAACATCGTAGTCGATGTTCTCCTGAAGGCTCAGTAGTTTGCAGCGACCAATGGTCTGTTTGAGGTTTAGCGGTTGTTTGAAGATGAGAAGTGGAAGCGTGAGGAAGATCTTGGTCAGATCTTGTGATTTCTGACCTTGTCCACCCCAGTCTGACACCGGCCCCCCCACATCATGTGTGAGAAAGTGTAATGAGTAATTCAAAACTGCACAAAAGAATTAAGATAGAGACAACCTAACAATTTATCAAGGTGATGCTGTCATAACGGGAAAGTAAGGAAGGTCTCACACTCTCTCACACGCACACACTCTGTCGCTCTGTCTCGCTTGCACACACGTATAAAAGTCTGTTGAGTGAATCATTTCCTCCAAGATGTTTGTTTAGTTGCACATACATTCTATTTTGTTCGAACAACAGTTTGCAGTCACAGTCAGTCAGTGTGGTATCTTTTAAATTCCTGCTTTGGGAATAAAACCAGCCTGATTCAGTGTTAAAACTGAGAGACAGATTCTGAACAAAGCCTCACACTTACAGTTCAGTGTCTGACCTGAGATGTCACCTTTTATATATTCATATGGCTTGCCTGATTGTCATTACAGCACAGCACAACACTGACATAGACTTTACAAACACTTTACATGCCATCTAACACACTTGATAACCTGCAGAGACTTATCATCTGAAACTCCACTCACACCAGTTGTACGATCTTTTGATCTCTCTGCCTATAAACTCTGTGTGCGTGTGTGCGCGTGCGAGCCCTGCTCTCTCACTGCACCTGACGAAGAGTCTGTGCTCCAAAAGCTTCTGCAATTCCAAATAACGTGTTGGACTATAACCTGGTGTCATGCGACTCCTGACTTTATCCACCCAAGTTTAACAGTGACACCTCCATATCTTTTGGGTAAAGTTAACTTGTTACTTCCTCTTCACCAGTTGGTTCTTGCTATGTTTGGTCTGCTTGCATTGCTGTGTGTTCCATGGATAGATACAATGAGGTCATAAATTAAGAGCATTGAGTCACCATTTCACAACTGAACTCAGTGAGCAGCAACAACTCCTATTGACTGAGTAGCAGGATATGCACCTACACCAGTCAAACAACTTGATACAAATGTATGTGTTAACTGAATTCTCAGCAGTTTGTATCAGGTAGGAGAATCAATTGTGTACTCCTTTCAGCAATGATTTCTTCATATCTATGACATAAACAAATGTAGGTGAAATTTATTGGCTATTATAGAACAACATTCGTGACGCACCACTCAAAAAGCTCAATCTATGCGTAGAAATATTTAAGATGCATTTAGATCAAAAAAACTACCTGTCAAGACTCCCATCCATGCTAAAATCTAAATCATCCATATGCAGAATGAAAATATATGGCTGCAGCACCACTTGCCTGTTAATTCAGTGAAATCTTTTTTTATTTGCTCATCCACACAGTAGTCAACCAGTTTGCTATCGATCGCAGTCATTTCCATGTTCTTTCATTACAGGTACTTATCCTTTGTATAAAACATTCCACTTGTTGTGTTAAAATCCTTCCCTGTCAACCATTGCAGTAATGACATCAAGAACTGTACTGGTTGTCATTGCTGTGGCTCAGTTGGAAGCACCCTTGCCTGAATCACAGAGCTGTTGATTTCAATTTCAATTCAGGACTTAAGCCCAAGAAAATCAGAGGTGACACTCCAGTGAAGTACTGAGGAATGGAACACCATTGACAGTGTCCTCTTTTAAATGAATCGTGAAACCAAGTCCTCAGTCTGCCCTCCAGATGAATCTATGGCACTATTTCAAAGAAATGTAGGGAAGTTATTTCTTTTGGCCAATATTTATGCCTCAATCAACAAATTATTTGGTCCCTATTGCTTTGCTGTTTATGGGAGTTCATTTGTTTGCATTCCTATGTAACCAAAATGACTACTCTTAAGAAGTACTCCATTATTTATGAAGTACTTTGGGTAATTTGGTGGTCATGAAAGGCACCATGTAAAACCTTTTCCTACCTAAAGGCTAGATGTGAGAATTGAGCACAATGTAAAATGACGTTATCTCTTTTTCAGTCCCTCTAAAACAAGAATTGGTACAAATCTAACCCATTACCTTTATTTATCATTTGAGCATATTTTCAAAATTTTTACTGGGCCACACTCCCTAAAAAAACATAACTGTGGATTACTGAGACAAAGTTTACTGGCAGTCAATTAAAAGGGCCGGTTGCACAGGAGCTTGGCCCCTGGATGAATTGATAAGATTGTGCAGTCTATTTAACAGATTATCTTTCATTGTCAAGTACAACGCATAATACTGAATTACTGGAAATAGGTTATGGAACCCTCATGTTCACGATAAAACGGTACTTAATCTCAGTCATTTTAGCGATACACTGTACAAATTGGATGTTACTGAAATTATAGTATTAATTAAGTAAAAGGTATTTGATACATGAAGGCCTAGGATGCTTCACGTGCTAAATATTAGACAATTACTTAAGGCAAAGTTTCAAAAAGCAAACCAATGCACAATTATGCAGTTACTTTGGCCATCTAGGGTCTAATACTAATTCCATAATTAACAAACATGACCAGACATTTTTAAACAATTCACACATCACATTGAAGTTTAGCTTAAATTTGAACAGATCCACGTTGAATGAATTTTATTGGATTGGAGGAGGATCCGTACAAGTGATGATTATAAATATGTGTCATTTCCTCAAGAACACTTCACTTGCCTAGGTTCAAATTTGAAAGTTTGGCTGTTTCCAAGTATTCTAGAGATTCCTTTAAACACAGATGGAAGGAATAACGCATATCAAAAACGAGTTGTAGAAAAGACCTGTACAAGAAATAATATTCTTGCACATAAGGTTCAAATAATTCTATCCTTTGCATAGACTTCATATGCTCTGTTCTGTAAATAATCTGTCTAATTGTTGTGCTGTGTCAATGTCACTGGACTAGCATTCAAAATGCACAGGCTGTGAGGACACAGGTTCAATTTGCACTGTGGCAGCTGGTGGAATTAAATTCAGTTAATAAGCACAGGAAAGTAAAAATTGTTCTCAGTAATGGTGACCAAGAGCTTTCATTGTTCTAAAATTGCAAGTTTACTTATGTCTTTTGGGGAAGTAGCTCTGCCATCCTTACCTAGAGTGGCCCACCTATGACTCCAGACCGACAGCAATGTGGTTGACTTTAAATTACTGTCTGAAGAGTCCTCAAAAACAGCTCAGCTCAAGTGTAATTATGGATGGCAACAAATGCCGACCTTGCTGGCGATGCTCACATCTGATGAAGAAACTAAAAAGCTGTGTATTTTAAAGGTTTTATAGAACATAGAACAGTGCAGGCCCTTCAGCCCACAATGTTGTGCTGACCTATTATCCTACTAAGATCAATCTACCCTGCATACCCTACATTTTACAATCCTCCATGTGCCTATCCAAGAGTCGCTTAAAAGTCTCAAAAGTATCTGATTCCACTACCACTGCCTGTAGCACATTCCACACGCCAACCACTCTCTGTGTGAAGAACCTGCCTCTGACACCTCCTCTATACCTTCCTCCAATCACCTTAAAATTATGCCCCCTCGTAATAGTCATTTCCGTCCTGGGAAAAAGTCTCTGACTATCCATTCGATCAATGCCTTTCATCATCTTGTACACCTTTATCAAGTCACCTCTCATCCTTTTTCGCTCCAATGAAAAAAGCCCTAGCTCCCTCAACCTTTCCTCATAAGACCTGCCTTCCAGTCCAGGCAGCATCCTGGTAAATCTTCTCTGCAACCTCTCTAAAGCTACCACATCTTTCCTATAATGCGGTGACCAGAACTGAACACAATATTCCAAGTGTGGTCTAACCAGAGTTTTATAGAGCTGCAGCATAACCTTGCGGCTCTTAAACTCAATTCCCTGCCAATAAAAGCCAGCACAACATGCGCCTTCTTTACAACCCTATCAATCTGGATAGCAACTTTGAGGGATCTATGGACATGGACCCCAAGATCCCTCTGTTCCTCCGCACTGCCGAGAATCCTGCCATTAACCCTGTATTCTGCATTCAAATTTGACCTTCCAAAATGTTTTACCATATTATTAACTTCACATCTTTACATGTTTTGAACTGTTTTCTAATGAGAAAAGCCTTCTCTTTTTCTGGTTCTTTCTATCCATCTGGGCCGTTTGTTAAATTATCTTTTATATCTGTTTTGCCTAATATTCTTACATCTCTGTTTCTATTAATTGTCAAAATCTTTTGGTTTTCCTTTTGTTTTTTAGATACACATTTGTATAAACAGGCAAAGAACTGTAAACAGCCACCTAAGTCTGTTGAGTCTTTCCTTCACAGACAGGACTTAACCAAATGCACAGTTAACCTGCCTTCAAATGGTGATGCAATGTGAGGGTTTGAAACACAGACCCTTAAAATCTGTTTAGGTTCCAGTATTGTACTCAAAAAAAAAAAGTATTGACGCTACTTTTTTTTTAATATTTCCATTACTTTAAAAGCAATCCACTGTTAGTTAGCATATTTTCTTCCCTGTTTTCTGCAGGTACCTGGGTTTCCTTTTCATAGTTTTGAAGTACTCTGAGTAAATTGGCCGTCCTTTTTGCCTCCTAAGGGTGATGTTGTTTAAAGAGAAATCATTCACATAGGAATAAAACGACAACTGATGCTTGTGTATCTTTTGTTGAAAAGAACGAGTACAATGTCATTTCTGCTGCAGTTTGGATATGACTAAAGTTGAGAATTTATGCAGTGCTAAAACAGGTGGTGACCCAGCTTTAATTACTCGAAGTAACAGGTGGATGTTTATTCTTCTTCAAAAGGTTACAGCGCTGGTTGGCAGGTGTGCAGCAAACTGGGGCAGTCAGATGGCTATCATGACCTGACAATTCGGCAGGAATTAATGGCCTTTGCTCGCACCTACTGCCCTCCCAATGTTATCCAGTCTCTGCTAGCTGTCAGCAGCTCACTTCAAACACAGGTATGAATGAATTAGCTGTATGCTGCAAGAACAGCGGAACTTGGGTGTTAAATTTTGAATTTAAAGACTATCACCTAATACTATCTGTCCCATGAAGTTTGATATTCTTTTGAAAAATAAATCAACCTTGATGCAGCCTCCTTCGGCATCATAGAATCCCTAAAGTTTGGAAAATTGCCCATCGGCCCAACAAGTCCACACCGACACTTGGAGCATCACACCCAGACCCATCCCCCTATACCCCACCTAATCTACACATCCCTGAACACTACAGGCAATTTAGCATGGCCAATCCACTTAGCCTGCACATCTTTGGACTGTGGGAGGAAACCGGAGCACCTGAAGGAAACCCATGCAGACACGGGGAGAATGTGCAAACTCTACACAGACAGTTGCCCAAGGGTGAAATTGAACCCGGGTCCCTGGCACTGTGAGGCAGCAGTGCTAACCACTGAGCCACCATGCGGCCCCCAAAAGCTATGTTTCAGCAAAAGGCATGTTCAGGACAGCTTCCTGGATCATTATATCCTTAGCCTAACTAGAAAGAAAGTTTTTCTAGGTTTAGTGCTGAGAAATGAGGTAGGCTAAGTGGACCAATTATCACATCAGAAGGAATATTTAGCCATGAAGAAAAGCGAGGAATGGTAGCAAGAAGAATGTCTAGAATGAAAGAAGGCTAATTTCATTGACGTGAGAAAAGGTCCAAAAACAGAAGTTGCTGGAAAAACTTAGCAGGTCTGGCAGCATCTGTGAAGAAGAAAAAAAATCAGAGTTAACGTCTTGGGACCAGTGGCCCTTCCTCAGAACTGATGGTTGCTAGGAAAATGTCGGTTTATATGCACATGATAGGAAGGGGAAGGGGGTAGGGAGTAAATGATAGGTGGGGATAGAGCCCAAAGAGATAGCAGAGCAGTTGGATAGACAAAGGAGTTGATAACAACCTGGCATGGAGGGTGAATAGCTGTTCATGGGGACTGTTAGTGACTAACGTGTAATGACAGGCTATGTGATACAAGGCCTGGTGTGTGGGTTGGGGTCTAGGACAGGGGAGAGTTTAGGCCCTAAAATTATTTACACAAAAACAGAAGTTGCTGGGAAAGCTCAGCAGGTCTGGCAGCATCTGTGAACCGTTCTGAGGAAGGGTCACCCGAAACGTTAACTCTTGAGATTTTCCTTCACAGATGTTGCCAGACCTGCTGAGCTTTTCCAGCAACTTCTGTTTTTGTTTCTGATTTACAGCATCTGCAGTTCTTTCGGGTTTTATTTCCTAAAATTATTGAACTTGATATTGACTCTGGAGGGCTGCAGGGTTCCCAAGCGGAAAATGAAGTGTTGTTCTTCCAGCTTGCGTTGAGCTTCGCTGGAACACTACAGCAAGCCTGAGACAGAAATGTTGGCCAGGGAACAGGGTGGTGTGTTAAAGTGGCAGGCAGATGGAAGCTCAGTCTTTCTTGTGAACAGAACGTAGATGTTCTGCGAAGCGGTCACCCAGTGTACGCTTCTTTTCTCCAATGTCAAGATAGGATGCTTTCTGTGGTGCATCTATAAAAATTCGTAAGCCTCTTAAGGAAGTAAAGACTTTGTTGTGCTTTCTTGACTGTTGCATTGATGTGGGTGGATCAGAACAGATTGTTAGTGATCATCACTCCCAGGAGCTTGATGTTCTTCACCATCTCCAACTCAGCATTGTTGATGCAGACAGGTGTGTGCCCTTCACTCCGCCTCCTGAAGTCAATGACCAGCTCCTTCGTTTTGCTGACGTTGATGGAGAGATTGTTGACTTTACACCATGCTGCTAAGCACTCAGTCTCTTTCCTGTATTCTGTCTCGTCGTCGTTTGAGATCTAACCTACAATGGTGATGTCGTCAGCAAACTTGTAAATGGAGTAGGGGCGGAATTTGGCCACACAGTCGTGTTTGTATAAAGAGTACAGTAGGGGGCTGAGTATGCAGCCTTCTGGAGAAGATGTTGTTGCCTATTCTTACTGATTATGATCAATGGGTCAGGAAGTTGAGGATCCAGTTACAGAGTGGGGATCCAAGACCTCGGACACAGAGTTTAGAGATGAGTTTCTTTGGAATTATGGTGTTGAAGGTAGAACTGTAGGCAATATATAGGAGCCTGATGTTCCAGGGATGAATGTAGGGCCAGGAAGGTGGTGTCTGCTGTGGACCTGGTGCACCAGTAGAAGAATTGCAAAGGATCAAAGCAGTTTGGTAGGCTGAAGTTCATGTGAGCTATGACTAACCTCTTGAAACATTTCATAATTATGGAGGTCAGAGCCACCGGGTGGTAGTCCTCAAGGCACGCTGCATAATTTTTCTTTGGCATGGGAATGCTGGTGGTCTTGTTGAAGCAGATGGGGACTTCAGATTGTAGTAAGGAGAGGTTAAAGATGTCTGCGAATATTTCTACCAACTGGTCTGCACAGGATCTGAGTGCATGGCTGGGGACTCCATCTGAGCTGGTTGCTTTCTGTGGGTTCATTCTCAAGAAGGCTGATCTAATGTCTGTGGTTGTGACTGTTGGGATAGTTGACTTTGTTTCACTGACATATTGTTATGATCCTGGATGAGATGTCCACAATAATGTCATAACCTAGTTGGGGACCAGTAAATATTTTTGTTTAAAGAGGACATCGTCTGAATTCTCAGGTATTTAGTAAGAGCGTACAGCTATAAGATCCCACAGTTTTGAACAGACAAATAAACTAAACTTTACAAAATTAGAAAAGTACAACAGTCATCATATACTATACAAACAAAATTTGTACGTTTTAACACTCAGGATTACCGTAACCTACATTTGAGTTAACAGATATTGTGGGTGACCAAATCTCACTAAAACTCTGTTGCCTTTGCAAGGGATTCTAGGTCTTCAGTTTTGAATATTCAGTCTTGGAACACCCTCAAAGTCTCTGTGACTCTGAATGCCTTAATGACAGCACGTGTCTTGGTAGTTCGATCTCATCTCTTAAGACAAAGTTCCCCTGGCCTGCTGTCAAGCATATAGTTAATGGAACGATTTCAGCTTTTATCAAACAGCTAACTTCCATTAGCTTTCGCTGAATTTCTCTCAGCTCCAAGTTTTCTCAGCTGCATCAAGCAAATACGAGCTGGAGCTTTCTTCAACCCACTGTCAGCTGCACTGAACTAATTATAGCTCCCAGTGCTTCTCCTGACCCCTTCACCCTTTCTACATTGAATCACAAACTTCTTGAGACTTGTTGTGAACCCTAATTTTGAGGAGTCTGCTAGCACCAGCAGTCATGATGACTGGAGCTACTTCTTTGCATCAGCGCTCTCCCAGTTCCAAACTGGTCTGAACTTCTCCCAGCGCAAATACAAATTGGAACCAGAAATCCTTCCTAAGCTCCAACTATTTCCAAGACAACATTGCCTTTGCTGAGCTGTCCTTAACCTGACTTTCAAGTTGAATATCCTCATTTACAATTTCCTCTTTGATCTGATGAAGTTAATGATTTTTCACAGCCTTTCGGAATTCACAAGATTCTTTTAATTAATTTAGTTTTATCTCCCATTATGCTGTGGTGCAGATGCTGTGGTTCAACAAGCTGTCCTGCAGTTGATCTAGCAATTAACCTGTTAAAGCAACATGATCTCAATCTTTTAAGTGCAGTAGACTTTCATGTGCTTCAATTGCTTTAATCCTATTTTCTACTCTTCAATGCTAATTCACAAAACTAAAAATTACATTCTAACTGGAGTACACAGACCTTGAGCCAAACACTCGCAACAATATAATGTACCTCCTTTCCCATCTTCCTTCCCTTCTCCTCTACCCTCAGTTTGCTCCTCACCCACTGCCCCAATTGCATACATTACAGTCAAGTTCATTATTTGTACAATTTATTTGCCTTTGGACTCACTTTGTTTGAATTAAATATCACCACAATTGTCACAATAGTTTCTAACATGAAGTCAAAATTAAGACAGAAAAGGCCTTGCTGGCACGATCGATGGGAAAATCAAAGAATATACCGAGATATTTTGATGGTCCTTGAAGTCGCTATAGCATAATTCATAAACATTTCTTGAAGATCATTAACACTAATTTCTGTGCTTTTCAAATGGAAGGGTGTTGGACTTTGGGACCAAATGAAATGTAAATTGTATTGTTGAACTCTACTAACAATTAATTGTTTCCCATGATGTTATTAAAGTTAAATATAGTACAAAAAAATCTAATTACTTGTAAATGAACAAACCACATGGTACTTCCGCAAATACCATTGCATAAGTATGAAAATAATTTTGTTCCAAATATTTTTGTCAGAGCAAATTCTCAAACAACGTAAATTCTTGCTCAACCATGCGTGCAACTGAGGTTCTGTCCATAAGCAACCAGACTGAGGTATTGTTCATGAATTACACAGAGCCTGATCCAGGATGTGTGCAGGTATTAGGTACAGTAAACAAAATAAAGGGAGACAAATAATTATTTGACAAAAAAAAAAGAGAAGTCATAAAAATTCAACAATTAAAAGACATAATAAGATTCCACATTCATGAATTTAATTTTCAGTGCCATAGAGATCAGTAATTAAGACTCATCATACATTTATAAAGGCACTTTGACGAAAGTTGGCATGCCATAACTTTCTGTACTATATTTTGACTGTACCTGACTTGCAGTAATAAACTTAGCAGCATTTAATGGTTTTAAATGTTAAATTGGATTGCAAGATGCTGTTTTCAGGTGTCACTACAAACTGCCCCCTTAGGAAATTGTTGTGTGATTTGTATGCAAATACCTTTAAATTCAGTGTTGTTTTGACAGTAATTTCTGACCCCTATACCTTTTTCTCCATGAAATAAAGTCAGTTTTTAATTTAGACTGATTACCTGAACAATGCAGTACCATTTTTGAATTGAGCTTTGAAACAATTGTTCGTGAATTAGTGTTGAATGTGGCTGTTTCTAATTATGTTAACTGTTTACTCCATTTATCGAGCCATTAGACCGTCACAATTGACTTATTCTTGCAAGTTGATAGTTTTTGTGACTCATTTTTCAATGTTGCTGTATTTGAATAAGAGTAGTTTCTCAACAGTCATAAAGTTTCAAACATTTATTGCAGAAAAAGATCAATATACTTGTGTGTTTATTGTTCATAGTTTGTTCAAAACAGTCAATGATATAATTGCAGGGTGCTAAATCACTGCTTTCTATTTAATTAATTTTATTGCAGATTTTGTATCAAGCTGTAAATTATCAGATTGAGCCATCAGAGAGCAGCGAGTCTATAAATTCTACGGGCAATGGTCAGCAGGTCAGAATTTTCATGTCTTAAAATGACATGGGTTTTTCCACCTTTCTGAAACAGAATTTTACCTTCCCATCTGATGCACAAGATAAACGGTTGTTGTCTCATAACTTAGACAGTTGTGAATAATAAAATGCAACCATTATTTGAATGACTACATTTTTAATACATTATCATTCAAGTAACCTGATTTTTTTATATCATCAACAACTTTTATTTATATGACATTTCAATATTTTAAAGCAGCCCACAATACTTCAGCTCTCCAACTATGACAGCTGCCTACATCTTAAATCTGATAAACAGATTACCAATCTGTAAAGTTTTAGGATTAAATGAGACAGGATTGCATATTCTGGCATGTTATTCTTTTTGTTAATTTGAAAAAATGTAAATCATAACCTCTTCGTAGGAAAAGGATAAGATCAAGCAGATAATGTGAAAAATGAAGCAGCCGGTCAAGGGAAAATAACTTAACATTATGATTTTAATTTGGTGTTTGAATATTATTTGATGATATGATGTTTAGGTAAAAAGAAAGTTGAAATCTCTACTTCCTTATACTCTTGCCAATTGACTAACAGTGCAAGAAAGCTTTGAAACTTACCATTAAAGTGTAAGCTCATTCTTCCAAAAAAGTCTTAAGAAACTAATTCATTTCTTCTTAATGCAATAGCTTTATTGTGCACCATTTTAAAGCACTAATTATTTTGTTTTTTGATTCAAACTTTTAGATTGAAATGAAAGTTCCAAATAATTCATCTGATCTACTCCATCGGACAACTGCAAAGACCATGGAGGTTCTTAGTAGTACTTCTATGACAACTAAGGCAGTGTTGCATGCTGTCAGTGATGCACAGTGGTGGAAGAGATCCCTCAGCTATCTGCGCCCTTTACATGTAAGGCCTTTTTGATTATAAGTGAAAAGATAGAAGTTAGATTCTCTCATTTCTATCATTTTGAATTGTAATTTTCCTTTAGGACCAAGGACCAGAAGCTACCTTAAGAGGTGAGGCTGGTGTAAATGGAGATCTTGAAAAGCAAGGCTGTCATCCCTTTTATGAGATCCTCATTGATGATGCTTTCGTTGACAAAGTAAGTCAAACTAACAGTTAAGTCTAGGATTTACACTAAATTATATTCCACAAGTAAAGCAGTCACACCCACACCCATTAATAGGACTGAAAAGTTGCGTACAACTGTTTGAGAGGGCAAAGCTTTCCTTTAAACAGCAGCAGAACAAAAAAATTTAGCAGTAAACTATCTGTCTTGTATGGCCCAATTGAATATTTAGGGCTAATTGAGAATTTTTACCTGGGATTTATTTTCTAGGTTGAGCTGCTTTTCAATTGATTATTTATAATGCATTTTCCAAAATATTTAATACAATATGTCATATGAAGGTATTCAATCATTATAGCTTAAGAATTCATTCTCTACATAACTGTTAGTAATGATTTTTCTCCTTTTAAGTTGCATTTTTGGATGTTGGAGAAGATATTCTAACTATTCAAAGTGCTGCGCAAAGCTGTATGAATTTGTTGGATCATTTATAACGACGCAGAATTTGGTGGAACTGGGTTTCTCGTGGCATGTATTGGATGTTTCTTCACCTTTTACCTTCAATTACTTTGCATTGCAAATTGCTGAATGCGCAAATTGATAATAGTGCGGTAAGGCCAATGGGACACCTGGTACAAGACAAAACTTAATCTAACTCGTTAACCAAGTAACTTTAATGTTCCGCTGACCATCTTCATTTCCATTAAGTATTCATGAAATCCTTCAATTTAAGCTTACTCCATCAGTGGCACTTCACAAATCACTATCATGGCAGTTAGCAAATTTAGTACAGGCCTGTGCCCTGGATTAATATTGATCACCTCAGATTCATGATGCACTCAAGGATATTCTGCTATTGTTAACATTTGAACAGACTCTGCCAACTGGTGTCTTCCTGTGTGGGTGGTTGACTCTCAATTTATAGGATCCAGGTCCAGAGCAGGTGTAATGTGCAAGTATCCACTCTGGCACATCAAATGTCGTGAACTTTGATGTCTTTTTCGTCCTCGAATATTTCAAGTGGGTGCAGATCATGTTAGTGTAATCTTGGGTCTAACTGCACAAATATTGACCTATTCTGAAGTAAGGCCACTAGACCTGGAACATTGACTTTGCTTTCTCTCCACAGATGCTGCCAGATCTGCTGAGTTTCTGCAGCAATTTCTGTTTTTGTTTCACAATTATTGATTATAATTGTTACCAGCAGCTTGCATTCAGATCTATTTTCAGTTTTTATGTCCAGATAAGATCCAGTCATGTTCTCAGCCACCCCCTCTTAATATCAATCAACTATTTTTAATTCAGCTGTCTGATCCAGTGGATTATTAAACATACAACTAAAATTCCTACCAAAAATAAATTTCTATTATCATTTGGAATGAAAATTGAGATTTTTCATGGTTGTTTTATCACTTTATACATAAAGCTCTTGGCTTTTTCTACAAGAATTATACGGAACTCCATTGTCAAATGTGATGACTGTTCATTGCATTTAGTTCCAGAGCACACTGATCTCTCCTGTTTAACTGCATATTGGAAAATGGCTAATGGAGTGCATTATCTATTATTGCAACCTCCTTCCAAGAAACCCAATAGTTCAGCATTGGACACTACACATTAGGAAGGGTAAATTGGTCTTGGATGGAGTACAACACAGGTTTACAAGAATGAAACCTGGACCTCCACAGATTAAGTAGTGAGGACGGATTATATAAATTAGGCCTGTTTTAAAAATTAAAGTAATTTAAGAATTTCAAAGGTTAAGGGGAGATCTAGAACTAGGGGGCATAGAGTCATCGAGCTGTACAGCATGGAAACAGACCGTTCAGTCCAACTTGTCCATGCCAACCAGATATCCTAAATTATTCTAGTCCCATTTGCCAGCACTTGATCTATAACGCTCTAAACCCTTCCTATTCATATACCCATCCAGATGCCTTTTAGAACGTTGCAATTGTACCAGCTTCCGCCACTTCCTCTGGCAGCTCATTCCATATACGCAACATCTTCTGCGTGAAAAAGTTGCCTCTTAGATTCCTTTTAAATTTTCCCCCTCTCACCTTAAACCTATGTACTCTAGTTTTGGATGCCCCCATCTTGGGGAAAAGACCTTGGCTATTTGCCTTATCCATGCCCCTCATGATTTTATAAACCTCTCCAAGGTCACTCCTCAGCCAGTCTGAGAATTTGGACTAGACTATTCAGGAGTGATGTTAGGAAGCACTTCTCTGCACAAAGGGTGTTAGAGGTTTGGAACACTTCCACAAACAGCTGATGCTAGATCAGTTGTAGGTTTTCAGTCTGCAGAAGATCAATTATTGTTAAGCAAAGTTATTCATGAATATGGGTCACAGGCAGCTATATGGAAATAAGTCACAAATCAGCTTTGATCCCGTTGAATGGTGGAACAAGTTTGAGGACCTGAAAAGCCTACTTCTGTTCTTATGTTCCTATGGATAATCCTGTTCAGTTCATCAGGCATCTTCAGAAACTTGTTCACTGATCGTATGCTTAAAGCTGATTTGTAGGGCTGAATATTTGTTCTGAGGGTGTTACTCTTGCCATTGGGATGAATTTCTCGTCGGGATCGCTTAAAAGTGCCAATGGCAAAACTCACAAGACAGTTGTGAAAGAGGGAGTCAATTAACTGGCCATCTCTTTTTAGACAGCAGACGGATTCCGGAGTGTGGAGGGCCAACAATAAGCTGTTCAGCATGAACAAATTTCAGCCCTACTATCAGGGGTGGGAGTTGCTGTTGTAAATAGGGAGACGCAAAGGCACCTGCGTTCCCAGTCACTGGTTGCAGATTAAGTGATTAAGAGGACCAGGGAGGTAAAAACCTTCTGACATAAGTATTAATGCCCCATCCACAATAATGGCTACAGTAATGCAGATTTTTGGAATGGCATCTTCTAAATGGATTGGAGTCTCTCACTTTGATGCCTGTTCCTACTACCACTCAAGGCCACCATCATTGTTTCACAGAAGGCCTACTGACATGATAAGCATCCCACAGGCCAGATTGGAAATCTAGTTGGGTTTTGGGGAATGTCCATAATTATGCCCTCATTTTAAGAGGTTAACTGCCACAACTGGATGGCAGGTGTACAGGATAACTGTCTCTTCTAAAATTATTTGAAGATGAGACTAGATCATAAAGCTAGCATGCTGTTTAACAATATCAAATTCCAATCTTCTCTGTCTTTGGTCTAGTCACCTTTGTCAAGGAGAAATTCAGTCCATAGCGATACTGATTCATTTTCCAAACTCTGCTTGTTGTCCTTTATAATTCTTGACAGTGAAATTTCACACAGGTGTGTCCTGGCAATCAAAATGCACCTCTTTGTAGCACCAATTTACTGCCTCATAGTTTCTGACATGATTGTTTGAAAAAACAAGTGAAAAGGGTTGTTTGATTCTTTACACACCACTTCTACCAAACTATCCTCTTAAGTCTTACAAATGGTTTAGACTGTAAAATCTAATTTTGCTCATTTTTAATTTTATGATGTTCTAAATATATTTTTGCTCTTGCAGAATGAAGTAAACTACTCTAGTTATCAACACAGTGCTCTGGAGAACTTTGCAGAAGTCTTGCTGAGAGCTGGAAAATTATCTGAAACCAAAAGTGAAGGGGAAAACCTATTTCCTGCCACAGAAGGTAAAAGTTACCCTCAGTAGTACCTTTACAAGCTCCATCAGGTTTTACACCATGCTCAGTTTTGCAACTTTATCTGTGCTAAAAATGCGTCATAGTCAATAGAAATCATATTCCTTTGACACATTTATGCATACAGAAATGTAAACCATACACAGTGAAAAAAACAATAAGCAGGCACACTTAAAAATATCGCTTATTGCAGCTAGAGTATGCAGGTTGTTAGTTATAGCAAGAATATGCATGGTACATCTTTTTAAAACTTGTGTGAATGAAATCCGTCATAAATTTTCATCTGTTGCTAACCTCAGCTGTTAAAAATTCACACTTTTGAAAAACAAATCCCTCTCATGGTGGTGGGCAGTTCTTTACCTGTCACTTTCAGTGAAAACACTGTAGTTAATAACATGGTTACAAAATGTTTGTTAAAGAGCTTTTCTTTGTGTAATTTTGATCCCTGTCCAATTGATGGTAGAATATTCTGTGGTATTTAGAAGATAATATGTGAAAATTGAGAATCATGCTACAAAATAGGTGATTTATTTTCTTTCCTAACATCTCATTAAAATTGAACATGGCATTGCCAGTATCTAAAGTTTATATTTATAGAAGTCTGACACGTGTTTGGTGTAGATTGATATGTCGTCAGTTCCATGTCATCTTTGGGTAGGATTGAATTTTAGGACTAAAGTGATTCAACTAAGATACAAATGATTTGAACCAGAACAAAACTCAACACTGTTGTTGAATGTCATTTACACAATAAGTCTTATTTTTTCTGATTTCTCTTTACTTGGCTATTTCATGTGCATTTCAGAGTTTTCAGCTAATATACTGAGGCCCTGATTCTCTTTTCCAGAGTCAGACACGGAGAGGTGGGTCATCTCCTGGCTCTGTAAAACCAACCTGGGAAAAACTCACCTCATGTCAATCATCGGCAAACCTCAGGAGCTAAACTGATGTAACTTATAGTTATGAGTCCATTGATTATCTCATTAATTTAAAAATAACATACACATTAATTAAAAAAGCATACGTGAAAATTTCTTCATCTAATCTGTTCTGAAAATATAAACATTTCACTCAAGAACTTAATTCTCTAATGGAAACAAGCATTTGTATTCTAAATCACTGGGCTGTCAATCACACTGTTCACGTAGCAGGCACCCCACCATGATAATGTTATATAGTAAAATCAGTCATGTAGCACAAATCTTATAATGATAACCCCAGACTCGTGTCAAGAGACAGATGAAAATAGCAATAACTTTTTTAAAGCCCTGAAGAGTCGAGTTATTTTATTTATTCATTTTTAAAAGTTTATTCATTTGTGGGATGTGGGTGTCGCTGGCTGGCCAACATTTATTGCCTGTCCCTAGTTGCCCTTGAGAAGGTGGTGGTGAGCTGTCTCCTTGAACCTCTGTAGTCCACCTGCTGTGGGTTGACCCACAATGCTATTAGGGAGGGAATTCCAGGATTTTGACCCAGTAACAGTGAAGGAGCGGCGATATATTTCCAAGTCAGGATGGTGAGTGGTTTGAGGGGAACTTGAAGGTGGTTGTGTTCCCATATATCTGCTACCTTTTTGCCGTTCTAGATGGAAGTGGTCGTGGTTTTGGAAGATGCTGTCTGAGGATCTTTGGTGAATTTCTACAGTGCATCTTGTAGAAAGTACGCACTGCTGCTACAGAGTGTCAGTGGTGAAGGGAATCGATGCTTGTGGATGTAGTGCCAATCAAGTGGGCTGCTTTGTTCTGGATGATGACAAGCTTCTTGAGTGTTGCTGGGGCTGCACTCATCCAGGCAAGTGGAGAGTACTCCATCACACTCCTGACTTGTACCTTGTAGAGGGTGAACTCGCCTCTGACGTACTTTTGCAGCCACTGTGTTTATGTGGTGAGTCATGCTGAGTTTCTAATCAATGATAACTCCCAGCATGTTGATAATAGAGAATTCAGTGATCATAACACTATTGAATGTCAAGGGGCAGTGGTTAGATTGTCTCTTGTTAGTGATTGTCATAGCCTGGCATTTGTGTGGCACAAATGTTACTTGCCACTTGTCAGCCAAGCCAGGAAATTGTCCAGATCTTGTTGTATTTGAATGTGGACTGCTTCAGTATCTGAGGAGTCACAAATAGTGCTGAACGTTGTGCAATCATTACCACTTCTGATCTTATGATGGAGGGAAGGTTATTGATAAAGCAGCTGAAGATGGTTGGGCCCAGGACACTACTCTGCAGGAGTCCCTCAGGGTAAATGTCCTGGAGCTGAGATGACTGCCCTCCAACAACTATGACCATCTTCTTATGTGTCAGGTATGACTTTAACCAGCAGAGAGTTTTCCCCCGATACCCATTGATTCCAGTTTTGCTAGGGCTCCGTGATGCCACACTTGGTTGAATGCAGCCTTGATGTCAAGCGCTGTCCCTCTCACCACTTCTCTGGAATTCAGCTCTTTTGTCCATGTTTGAACCAAGACCGTAATGAGGTCAGGAGCTGAATGGCCCTGGTGGAACCCAAACTGGGCATCACTGAGCAGGTGCTGCTTGATTGCACTGTTGATGACACCTTCCATCACTTTACTGATGCTTGAGACTGGACTGATGGGGCAGTAATTGACTGGGTTGGTTTTATCCTGCTTTTTATGTATGGGACACACTTGGGCAATTTTACATTTTGTTGGGTAGCTATCAGTGTTGTAACTGTTCTAGAACAGCTTGGCTAGGGTAGCAGCAAGTTCTGGAGCACAAGTCTTCAGTACGATTGCCAGAATGTTGTCAGGGCCGGTAGCCTTTGCAGCATCCAGTAACTCCAACCGTTTCTTGATATCACGTGGAGTGAAAAGTATTGACTGAAGGCTGGTATCTGTAATGCTGGGGACCACTGCAGAAGGCTGAGACATTTGACAGCTTTGAACATTCTCTGACAGCTTTCACTTTTTAAACACATTAATGTACACTTTTAATAATCCCAAACGGTACCTCACCACCCCATAAGGACCTCTGTCACCCCAACTGTGTCCTGGAACCATATCCAAGAGGCTATCTAATATCCCAATGTGGTACCCTGGCTTTCCAGAAACATACATGAACAACAGACTAGCTGTAGCCTGTTTTGCTTTGCACACATCTGATTCCTCACTACAGAGATGCCAAAATCCTATTTGACTGGAGGGAGCTGATCATGTAAATAGCCAGAAGTCTCTAGGAACTGCCCCCTAACACGTTCTGGCTCACCACAATCCAGTCCCTGTGAAAATGAAAGGTGCCTTGCTTGGGCTGGAGCTAGAGAATTGTGGCTGATCTGCCATCTATGACACAACAAAAACCCTCTCTGCCATAGCAAAACGTCAGGCCTGAATCATAATTACAAAAGGATTAAGTGCTACTTCAGTAAAGTTTATTTAAATTTCCAGCTCATTGAATTGTATATTAGTCTTCTGACTTTAACAAAGGGAACTGCTGGGCAGCTTATTACCCATTCATACTTCTGTCAACGTAATATATAAGGCTTAGATTGTTGTGCTTGTAAGAGCATTAAATAACTTCTTTGGAATCGTTGCTAACTGATGAACCAGCAATGATTTAAGTTGTGCTTTCATTGTTGACTGTTTGATAACCGTGGATTGCCAGAACCGGAAGTGATCAACAATAAGTCATCCATTGATAGATATCAATAAGTAATCCATTGATAGATACCCATTCATCAATGGGAGATGAAATCTTAGTTGGAGTTATTAATTGGGTCATTTTCTAGATTTGTTACCTGGGTATGATATCAGGATTAATTTGTTCCTCATGCAAAGCTATTGGTCAAGTATTACAAAAATTACTAAAGCTTTCTATTACTGTAGATCAGTCGTGATTTGTTCTAAAATTGCATCCAGCGCCAAGTCTGTTAGTTATTTGAGAATTAAAGCTGGTGGAAACCAGGAGCTTAAAACAAAATATTCTACTGTTAAGAAATCTGAGTTTCTCAAATGGATTTCATTTTTGTGCTTGTCAATCCAATAGCTAGATAGCTTTATCTAAATGAATACTCTGTAGATGCAGGATTTGTTTTGCCAAAAAGTCAATTTGTGAGATCTGTATGGCACAGTGGATTCACGTACTGCCTTTTCATTTTTAGTGTATGGATGTAATTTCATTTTGAGGTTGATCTGATGAAGTACTATATCTATTGGTCTCCGGTAAAATGATTGTGGGTAGATCTGAGCCTCATTCTGAGTGGGTGTGACTTGCAGCAGAAGAATATCTGTAATTCAGAATTTCTTTATTGATCTCACCCACTCACTCTCAGCCCACAATGACTGCTGCGAGAAATTGAAATGTCACACAATGCAGGAGGGATTCAATTCAAGAGCCTGCGTTCATTTTCAGAACATGAGGAGGATTTGATCCTGTGCTTAATCCGTCTTGCGCTTAAAGAAGAATTTCAAAGCAAAGCAGGGATGTCTTTTCTCAACCCAATCCTCCTCTTCACAGCACCAACAAAAAAAAAATCAGGCCATTCATTGTTTGCCTTACTGCCACTTACATAACTGCTATGTTCATTTTCATAACATTTCTATGCTTTGAACATGCTTTATATAATGATTTACTATATTTCTCTGAAAGATTCCAAAACATATTTAAGTGTTAAGTGGTACCATTTTGCTTAAAGCAGGATTCCACAAACAAAACTGAGGCTAGAACTTGCCTTATCTAGTGAGAAGTAGTGCAGTTACTTTTGGTTCTGCTTGATGAAGCAAGAGAAATGATTTGCATTATCCCTGGTATGGAGACCTGTTTGCTGCCACCTGATGCTGCTTAAAGTTTTCATGTTATGGATAAAGAAACAAAAGATGGTCAGTTCTGTACTGATAACCAAAAGTTTCTAAAACTTGTGAAATGAAGATTAATAATGAATTTTGTTGTAAAAGGCTAGTCGGTTTGCATGTTCAGTTCAGTTACAATAGCAATTAGCATACAAATTTAACAATATTATTGCAAGTTACTACAGTGGTTTATCTTACTTATTTTGAATTCTTTGCCATCTTTTCACAGTTCTTTTGCAGCTAGCCAGTGATGCTCTACCCAAAGATATGACCTTAGCCCTAGCCTACCTTCTGGCCTTGCCTCAGGTACAGCAATGACCTTTCTGCTTGGATGTGTAATCTGCAATTTTAAAAGAATGATTCAGAATAAAGTTTTTTTCTCGAGCTTCACTAGTATATTTCTGAATCCACTTGAGGCCTTTCTTTGAAGGTAAATTATTTCCAGCTTTATTCTTAAAGAATTTACACAGTTATTGCCTGACTGGTGTACCATTGCTAACCTATTTCCGAAGCCTGGAGATGGAAGTAAAATAGCCACTGCTTTTGATAATAGCTCGTATAAGTTCAAATATTTGTGAGTGAGGGTGTTGTAGGCCTTACTTCCAGCATAATGACCAATCAAAAAAATTTCTTGCCTTTCACAGTATTAATTAATTGATTAGAAGAATACAAAGGTTACAACCTTTGTTATAACAGAATAATAGAAATAATAGAATCCCTAAAGTGTGGAAGCAAGCCATTCAGCCAATCGAGTCCACACCAATCATCCAAGAGTATCCTATCCAGAACCACTCCCCTACCCTTTCCCTGTAACCCCGCAGTTTCCATGTCTGATCCACCTAACCTGCACATGCCCGGACGTTATGGGCAATTTAGCAAGGCCAACCCACCTAACTTGCACATCCTTAGACTGTGGAAGAAAGAGGGTGGAGTCGGATCCGGGTCTCTGGTGCTGTGAGGCGGCAGTGCTACCCACTGAGCCACCATGCAACCCCTCCCTTCATCCCACCACAGATAACATGCACATGCAGAACTTCCTTAAAACTTACCGCTTTGACCAAATAGTCACCTATCCAAATATCTGCTTGGTATCCATTTTCTTCTGAGTCATACAATCCTGCAACCTCGAAAGCCATTTAGTCCATTGTGCTTGTGCCAGATCTTTATTAGAGCTTTCCAATTAAATCCACTCCTCCATTTTTCCCCATAGTCTTGTAACTTGTACATTTGTGAAACACTAATTAATATTTTTCCACATTACAATCCCTACGTTAAGACAAGTTGTTGTTTTCTTTGCATTCTTGTTAACAATTTGTTTATGGCTGCTTGCCTGATTGCCTAACAGTTTTATATTTTTAATTTCCAAGACTGAAAATAGCTTTTACGAGTTTTAACTCTGACTTTGTGTTTTCTGCTGGAAAGATGTCAGAATCTATTTCACAAGTTTCTCCAATCAAGTCCAGGCAGCAATCTTCGTCAAGTCGCGTTTACTTTGAATTGCAGAATTATTTCTACCTAAATAAATTACTCTGAAACTGCTGCTAATTTATTAGGTCCAACTGAATGCCTCTTGTCCAGCAACTAATACAAGATTTGTGCAACCTGCATGAATATAATATCTGTGCAGGGAAATGTTACAATCTGCTATAAAGCATGTGATCATTGGACACTTAGAAAATACAAATTTAATTGGTAAGAAAAAAGAGCAGGATGGTAGGCTGTTACTCATGTGTTCCACAGTACCAGTGCTTAGACCACAGCTGTTCACTATCTGTATAAATATTTTCAAATTTCCTGATGACACAAAACCAGGTGGGAATGTGAGATGTGACATAGCTGCAAGGAGACTTCAAGGGAACTTGGGCAGGCTAAATGAATAAGCAAGAGGGTGGCATATGACATGTCATGTCAATTAATGTAACCTTATCGACTTTGGTAGAAAAACCATGAACATAAGAACTAGGAGCAGGAGTAGGCCATCTGGCCCCTCGAGCCTGCCCCGCCATTTAATAAGATCATGGCTGATCTTTTTGAGACTCAGCTCCACTTACCCATCCACTCACCATAACCCGTAATTCCTTTACTTTTCAAAAATTTATCTAGCCTTGCCTTAAAAACATTCAGCGAGGTAGCTTCAACCGCTTCACTGGGCAGGGAATTCCACAGATTCACAACCCTTTGGGTGAAGAAGTTCCTCCTGACCTCAGTCCTACATCTGCTTCCCTTTATTTTGAGGCGATGCCCTCTAGTCCTAGTTTCACCTGCTAGCGGAAACAATCTCCCTGCCTTCACTTTATCTATTCCCTTCTTAATTTTATATGTTTCTATAAGATCTCCCCTCATTCTTCTGAATTCCAATGAGTATAAGCCCAGTCTACTCAGTCTCTCCTCATAATCTAACCCTCTCAACTCTGGAATCAACCAAGGGAATCTCCTCTGCACCCCCTCCAGTGCTAGTTTATCTCTTCTCAAGTAAGGAGACCAAAACTGCACACAGTACTCCAGGTGTGGCCTCACCAGGACCCTATACAGCTGCAGCATAGCCTCCCTGTTTTCAAACTCCATCCCTCGAGCAATGGCAGACAAAATTCCATTTGCCTTTTTAATCACCTGCTGCACCTGCAATCCCACCTTCAGTGGTTAATGCACAAAGACACCCAAGTCCCTTTGCACAGCAGCGTGCTGCAATTTTTTACCATTTAAAACAGTCCATTTTGCTGTTATTCCTACCAAAATGAATGACCTCACACTTATCAACATTGTACTCCATCTGCCAGACCTTTGCCCACTCACTTAGACTATCTATATCCCTCTGCAGACTTTGTGTCTTCTGCACACTTTGCTCTACCACTCACCTTAGTGTCATCTGCAAATTTTGACACATCACACTTAGTCCCCAACTCCAAATCATCTATGTAAATTGTAAACAATTGCGGTCCCAACACTGATCCCTGAGGCACACCACTAGCCACTGACCGCCAACCAGAAAAACACCCATTTACCCCTACTCTTTGCTTTCTACTGGTCAACGAATCCTCTGTCCATGCCAATACATTACCTGTAATGCCGTGCAACTTTATCTTATGTAGCAGCCTTTGGTGTGGCACCTTGTCAAATGCCTTCTGGAAGTCCAGATACACCACATCCACAGGTTCCCCATTGTCCATCATGCAAGTAATGTCCTCAAAGAATTCCACCAAATTAGTTAAACGTGACCTACCCTTCATGAACCCATGCTGGGTGTTCCCAATGGGACAACTTATATATCCAGATGTCTTGCTATTTCTTCCTTAATGATAGATTCAAGCATTTTCCCCACTACCGAAGTTAAGCTAACTGGCCTATAGTTACCTGTTTTTTGTCTACGTCCTTTTTTAAACAGTGGCGTCACATTGGCTGTTTTCCAATCTGCGGGAACCACTCCAGAGTCCAGTGAATTTTGGTAAATAATTACTGGTGCATTTGCTATTTCCCCCATCACCTCTTTTAGTACCCTGGGATGCATTTCATCAGGGCCAGGAGACTTGTCTACCTTTAGCCCCATTAGCTTGCCCAGCACTGCCTCCTTAGTGATAATGATAGTTTCTAGGTCCTCACCTGCTATAACCTTCTTGCCATTAGTTTTCGGCATGTTATTTGTGTCTTCCACTGTGAAGACCAACACAAAATAACTGTTTAATGTCTCGGCTATTTCCTCATTCCCAGTTATTAAATTGGCCTTCTCATCCTCTAAAGGACCAATGTTTACCTTTGCCACTCTTTTACGATATACATATTTATAGAAACTTTTGCTGCCTGTTTTTATATTCTGAGGTAGTTTACTCTCATAATCTATCTTACTTTTCTTTATAACTTTTCTTGTGGCTTTCTGTTGGCCTTTAAAGATTTCCCAGTCTACTAGTTTCCCACTACACTTTGCTTTTTTGTACGTGTTTTTTTTTCAGTCTGATACTTTCCTTTATTTCTTTCGACATCCATGGCTGGCTCTCTCTTTTCCTACAGTTCTTCCTTATCACTGGAATATATTTCTGCTGAGCACTGTGAAAAATTGTTTTGAAAGTCCTCCACTGTTCCTGAATTGACCCACCATAAAGTTCTTGCTCCCATTCTACCTTAGCTAACTCCTCCCTCATTCATAAAGGTAGAGTACTTCTTAAATAGTGAGAAGTTTGGAAGTGTTCATATCCAAAGAGACCTGGGTGTCTTTGCTAATGATTCACTGAAGGCTAGCATGCAGGTACAGCAAGCAATTATGAAAATAAATTGTATGTTCATCAGAAGGGGATTTGAGTACAGAAGTAAAGATGTATTGTTGTAATTATATATAACACTGGTGAGGTTGTACCTGGGGTATGGTGCATAGTTTTCTTTATTTGAGGTACCTGTCTGAGTTTACCTTGCGATAAAGAGAGTGCAACAGACGTTCATTAGACATACTTGCTGAGGTAACAAATAGTGACTTGTGCGGAGAGATTGAAGAAGCTCAGCCTGGTGTTCTCAAGAAATTGGGAGAATAAGAAGTGGTTTCATTGAAAGTTACAAAATTCTTACTGGAGTGCATATGGACAAGATATTTCCCCAAGTGAAGAGTCTAGAGCCTCAAATTAAGGGCCAAGCCATTTAAGTCTGAGTTGAGGAGAAATTTCTTCACTCAGAAGGTGATGAATCTTCATAGCTCTCTAGTATGGACTTGTGCAAGCTCCATCATTGAGAATGTTCAAGACAGAAATCAATAGATTTCTGGTGACCTATGACATCAAGGGATAGTATAGGAAAAAGTGGCATAGATATGGATGAACAAGCATGGTCTGTTTGAATGGTCGACCAGGTTTGACCGGTAGAATGGTCTACTCCTGCTCCTATGTTCTTCCATCACAGTTATGTCATTTTTATGGCAATGATAAAACAATAGCTATGAGTTTGTAAGGCTGAAACACATTCAAGTAGTTTGGAGAGGAATAGAAGATTGCAAGGAGGTGACTGTGTGCTTCTTTTCAGAGGGTTTGATGACAGCAGTTTTGCAAGGGAGAGGAAATGATTTACCATCTCAGCTAGCATTGGGGGTGATGGTAGCATTTTAGGGGAGGCTATGGCTGACCTAGTGGTATTATCGCTGGACCGTTAATCCAGAAACCCGGATAACATTCTGGGGACCCAGGTTCGAATCCCGCCACGACAGATGGTGGAATTTGAATTCAGTAACATTTCTGGAATTAAGAATCTAATGATGACCATGAAAAGACTGAAAAACCAAGGAAACTTGATAGACAGAATTCTAACATGTGAAGACCTTGTCCACAATATCACCTATCAACATGAAGAACGACCATTGCTTTACAGACAGCAGCGTACTATCATTGCTGAAACCAAAAAAAATTGAGAGAGACAGTTTAACCCATGCTTGAGATCTGGACTTCTGATCTTCAAAACTTTGTTCCCTGTCTATATTTTTTCCACCCAAACTATCTGGGTGAAAACACGAGTCTATTGTCTGTCTTGATCATAAATATGTGTGTATTTAGGATTTTTGAAAGGGTATAGTTTAAGTTGCATAGTAGTAGATTAGAAAGTCTTTCTAGTCTCTGCCATTTGTTAAAGCTAAATGTGTTACTGTGAATAAAGTTATTTTCCATTAATGACAAAACGTGATTTATCCTGAATAGCAGTCCACTGTGATTTGTTATCTTACTAGTCTTGTCGAGATTTTATAGTGGGCATGATTATTGGTGCACTCCTTCCAGTTCAGCCTTGACAAAGGATTTAACAATTAGAGTCACTTTGCCCGTAGTGCATCATATAGATATTCACTAGTATTAATCCTGTCTTGAGGCAACAATTCTGGATCTGCCACAAACTCAAATCATCTGCCAGAAACTAGCATTCAGATCAAATACATGAAACTATCGCTGGATTGAATTGAGGTTGAGAAGAACTATGACCAGTGTGAAAAATGGTTATGTTAGCTGAAAACTACACCTCTACCTTCTGGCACATGAGGCTCTGCTCAGAAAGATACCTAGACTGTATTTTCGAGTTTGTAAAATGGGAAAACAGGTGGTAAATGTAATTCAGTGCAAAAATTTTTTTTGACAGCACGGAGGAACAGACAGAGATAGCTGGGAATGGAAGTGAATACCATAAAAAGGCAAATAAGGATTGGTGTTCAATGGATGGGACATTGAATGTAAAAGTAAATTTGGTGAAAATGAAACATTTCTGTCAGTGCTGTATTGGATTTTGTTTCTTTCTTGCCATTAAATTTATTGGGTTAAAAACCATTTTCACTTGTTGAAATAAAAGCCTTTTTGCTTAAAATATGATTTAGTCCATAACATTGATACATACAACATTGTCCATACATGGTACATTTCGGTTTAGGAATCAACATGACCTACGTTGTAACCATGTTATACCAAAACCCCATTTGCTTGTATTAGTCATTGTGATTATAAGGAAATCTTTCACGTGCAACATTAGACTAAATGCTTAAAAACCAATTTTTATTTTAAGTGTAGTTGCTTTTGCATAATCAAATGCAGCAGCTCAACTGCACAAGACAAGGTCCAGAAACAGAAATTATTTGTATGCCAATTAATTTGCTGTGATGAGATTGAGAGGAAAGTCTTGACTGGAACCCTGGGAATTCCATCCCTCTCTTTGCTCACTACTGTCATGCGATCTTTCACATTCTCCTGAACAAGCAGCTGTGGTCCTCTGTCTGATGGAGGCCAGATTGAAGGTTTTGTGTGGAAGTAATTAAAATGGAGAAGAGGACCAATAAACTCCATTCTTGCTGGCATCTCGCTGATTCAAATTTTAAGGATTCCTATCCTATTTTGACAGAAATTTCTGTAAATTTAGTAATTCAGTCATGTTCTCGCATCACGGATTCCACTGTAACCTGAGGCTTGATCAGAGGAGCAGTGGTAGCAAGAAGAGATCTAGTAGAAAGAATAGGGAATATAATGGAGTTAGAATAGATAGCCCTGATTGAAGAGTTACAGCAATTGCAATGTACTGAAAGGTCCCGTAAACGGTAATCTTTGTAAAAATATAATGTATAAAATATAATCCACCATTGGTAATCAGCATAGTCAACAAAGTAAATTTTAAAATGAGAAGTTGCATTCACCACTGAGACTAATTCTCATTACACATCAGACGAAGTAGTGTTAAAGTGTAAGCAATAAATGAAGTTTCTTCAGAAAGGAAAATGCCACACTAGTACTACTACAAGAAAAAAGAGCAACTTAATGATGATCCTGCAATGTCACAATGTCCGTGAATATCACTTTCAGAGCGTGTGGAAGCCATAGCTAGGACTGCTGCAAACAGCAGGAGTATTGAATGTAGCCTAGGCCAAGGTTTCAAACAACAGCATGGTGAAGGATCACATCATAAAATTTCTTTTGCAGTGGTACAAACTTTATTACTAATGCAGGATTTCAGGGAAATGTTGAAAACATCTGAAAGATTTAAATGTAAATAATAATTGATATTGCTCACCTGTATTCATAGATCAATTGGTGAAAAAGAATTGGAGTGTAGTAAAGCCTTCCATCCTTGTACAGTGAGGGCATGGGGGGTGGGGGTGGGTCGAGAAATTATGTGATGTCTGCAAACTGCAACATTCCTTCAAAGGAAACATTTCTGTGTTCGTTCCCTTGCGGATAATTGAATTTAGAAAACTACCAAGTAGTATACTAGGTTTGGAAATGAACTACAACGTAACCTACATGTTATTTATGGAAGAAATTACGACATTTAAATAAAAGAAATTAATTTGAATCAACTTTTCACATATAGAATGGCATTGTGAAATATTTCAGCATATTCCTATCAAATAACTGAAATTGAAGTTTACTTTTTAAAGCTAACAACTTAAATTAGTTCTTGATGACTTACTGTAAATAATTTGATTTATGAATAATTCATTTTCCTGTTCTCGTTTCATTTCTGACAGACTGTGGATGCTACTAAGTGCTTTGAGAAGCAACCTCATTCAGCTTTGTCTCTCCAGTTTGCTGGATACTATTATGCCTTACAGATCTACATTCACTTAAGTCCGTGTTTTAAGGAAAAGTGCCACTCCATATACAGGGTTAGTGCTTGGTTTTTCTCAGAAATTAGATCAATTGTAATAGAAATGTATGTTTGTATTTGAAATACCATTTGTTGAACGCAGTGTGAAAATTGCTTTCCAACTTACTGCTGAGAACTGTGTTTCATTCTCTGTCAAGTAATGACCAGCAAATCAATATATAAGTAACAATAATAATGATAGTCATAATATATATGGAAAAAGAAATGGTGTAACTGTAACAGAAACATGTACTTCTGGTGAGAACTTATTAAAGTTCATGTGTATTACTTGCAATGAACTGCATTACTTTGAGCTGCTTTAAACATTGGTAAGAAGGTTGATGCTGAAAATAAATTACCCTAAATGATGTACATTAAATGTTACTGCTGCAGCATTGTGTAAAGCAATAAGCTGTACTTTTTTTTTAATCTAAACTGACAAGCACAGGCCTATGTACTCAAATCTAAAGACAGTTTATTTAACCTTGTTGGTTTGGGGTATTCTCTTTGTTCTTTATTCATTCACGGGATGTTGGGCGTTATTGGCTAGGCAGTATTTATTGTCCATTCCTAATTGCCCAGAGTTCAGTTAACAGTCAACTACATTGCTGTGGGTATGGAGTCACATATAGGCCAGACCAGATAAGGATGGCAGTTTTCTTTCCCAAAGTGAACCAGATGGGTTTTTCCTGACAACCCACAATGGATTCACAATTGTTTGATTCTTAATTCTGGATATTTATTGAATTCAAATTCCACAATCTGCCATGATGGGATTCGAACCTGGGTCCCCAGAACGTTATCTGGGTTTCTGAATTAACAGTCCAGAGACAATACCACTAGGCCATTGCCTCCCTATCGTTGCTAAATGATCCACCTGGACTTTGTTTTTGCACAAGATTTTGTTGCTACCGTACATGTGCTTAGAGCTGCTGAAGTTGATTAAAAAATATCACCATTCATGTTCTCAAGGGAGCATGTCTTGATCCATCAGTAAATATCTGTTAAACTTGAAGTTTATGCTTAGTTTTCATAACTGAAGGTAAAAATATTTCTACTTTAAAACAATTCCACGAATCTAAATGTGTCTTTTTATGCTGTGGGGTTTCAAATCTCTAAATTATCAAGGCTCAAATGATATTATTAAAAATATGAAAGATTTAATCTGAAGGGTTTTAAGAAAATATTTTGTTCTCATAGTTCAATGAAGTATATGAGTCTGTTATGTGGAAATGTTTTGTGCTAAGTTTTAAGCGTCCTGTTTGCATGACTTAAGATTATATTGCACCATCTGTTAGTTAAGTCAGATTCATTGAGTGAGTTCACAAATGGTGTGGCCTGGGACTGCCAAAATGTCATGAGCACTGGCCCTCATTACAATTAGAAGACAGGTAAGATCCTCTTGAGTAACTAAGAATGTAAAGAATCTGCTTTCCTTCATGACTTTCTGCCCTTGCTTTCTTCAATCCTGATATCTAATTCATCTACCAGCAACTCCTTGAGCCAAAGAGCAAAGAAATATTTGGTTGTAACAGGAAGCATTCCACAAATTATGGAACGTCCCCACCTGATTACCACGGTTTAGATAGATACATAATCACCGATGGCATGTAGTATACCCATTCTCACTGAATTGCTAGGTATTAGCTAGTTCCATTTTCCCCCAATCCACCACAGTTTAATACTTCTGTCACTTCCTTTGCACTCTGTCTCTCCTAGAACATAAAACTAGAGCCTGTTAATAATTGTTCTTGGAGCTACTACAGATCGATTATCAATTGTCCACATGTCTGAAATTTGAACAGACCAAAAAACCACCGTTGGTTTTGAAAGCAGACCCAAATGGACCTGTAGACACAGAGTGCTGGACTTTTGTGGAGAAAAAGCTTTGCTTGGCCCAAATTAACATAAAAGCAATGTTTTTATTTCCCCTATATGCTGGACATAGTGAGACTACAGGTCCGTTTGGGTCGAATTAAGGTTAAGCAAACTTTTTTCCAAAGGGCTCAATACAGCAAAGCAGATCCAAGCAGACTATATCTGAAAATATCCAAAAACCAAAAATATACTTTCTTGAAAACTAGTTAGTTCCAAGTTTTTCAAATAAAGGATTCCCAACCTGGCATTCCACATTCATGCAAAAACAGTTCTACTGATCCTTTGCATTTCTTAGTTTAAACTGAGAATGATCTGGGCACCATATGATTTTCTTCAGTTTCCTACCTCGTGCAAAGATGATTCATTCTTTCTTTTAATAGCCCAGATAATATGCAATTGAAATCAGTCATTTGTGTGGGTCAAGATCAACACCTGAGTTGATTCTCAAGAGAGATGCACGGTGTAAGCTACCCCAAAAACCCCATTTAACTCTGTTTAGTACATTTCCTATTTTTATACCTGAACAAAATGGATAAGAATCATACAAATTTTAATTAAAGTTACATAACGATGGATATAGATACAAATGGATAATTTGCTGTACTACAAGGAGAATATCAAGGAAAATTTCTGTAATGAGCATCTTGCCTGAATGTCTATTTCTCAGGCACACTGCATCTTAATTGCCATCAATGGCAATTTGCGTTGTTCACAGAAATATTCAACAGATTAAGTTTTACAATAAAATAGCTTAAATGCTCATCCGTGCAAGTTACATAAATGTTTTTCCAAGTTATGCTTTTTCTCCACTAAAGCATCAGTGTCGATGTTTTGTCATCAACATTTGATGCTTCGGTGATTTACAGTTGCTTATTTTCATGACTTTGGGATAGTCAACTGGTCAACCTTGGTATAGTCAACCTTTAGCAAGTTGTCTATAAATGAGACAGTATTTGCTTGAGAGTTAGTTTTATTTTGCAAAAGTGAAGAAACTGTTGTCCAAAAACATTCTGAGAATTTTGGAGAATGAATTTGAAGCTATTTTCTTCATAATGGAGTAAATGGCAGTTTTTGTTTTACAATTGTCAAGATAATTCCTCTTCTGATACCAGCAGTATGAGATATTAATAGCTTATGAGCATTTTTTGAGTCTATACTTTCACCCTGTACATATTAACTACGTGTATTGTAATTAATCAGAAATCTAAGAATAGGTCTGAGACTTATTCAAAGAAGACCTCTGCCTAGATCTTTCAAAAGAGAAGATAGTTGTTGCAGCAGCATAGACAGGAGTTCATCAGGGCCAAGCAGAAGTCCCAAAGTGGCTGAATCCACAACGCTGTTAGATATAGCTGCAAAATTAAGCCATTTGGCCCTTCAGGCCAGCTCCACCATTCAATCATGGTGGATATGTTTCACAACTCCGCAGGAATTACCTAAGAAATTGAAACTTCCGAATAGCAATTAGCTGGCCTCTAGAGCCTTCTGGAAAGGTTTCAACTCTGAGGTAGAGTCTGAGGGTTCTAGCTGACTAAGCTTAGAGGAATTAAAACCTGCTGTTACTCCTATTCAATTGACATTCCACAGACGTCCCACCCCCAACTCAGCTTAACCACTATCCTCCTACTTCTCAGACCCAATCCGCCCTGGCAACCCTAAATTCTCCACCCACTCCCCACCATTAACCAATCTAAACTAAGCACTTGCCCACTTAACTACCACCTTAACTCCTCCACCCACATGTCACCCCTACCCTCTCAACCACTGTCAGCCTGCCATTTCACCCACTGAGCCCTAAATTTTCACATCCATTACCCTACACTTGCACCCATGCTCACCTTCCTTGCTTACCTTCTCTCGGTAGCTATGGAAGTGGTTTCAGAACCTTTTAATTCCTGGAGTTGCGCAGGAATTGGTGTGATAAAGGGTTGTGCTTTGAAGACTGATCCACTTCCCTGTTGGCTGGATTGATTCCTGGACTAGGATAGACTGCTTCTGCTGAGGTCAGACTTCTGCACAGAGAACGCCTTTAAAGTTGTGTGTTTTTTTTTGTCTAATCAGTATTGGAAATCAAGTTTCAAATCCTGATCAGAAACAGTTTCATTAGGGGCATCCTATATTCCACAGAGTGTTCAGAATGATAGGAATGAAACTCTGTTTTTCCCACATCATGGGAGATTGTCATTAATTGTTGTCAAATTCAATTTACTTCACCTTCACCTCACGTCCCTAAGGACCATCGGGGTGAATTTAATTTCTCTCAGTTCCTCTCAGGCCTGAAAAATGATAAAGTTGCTTTGGCATACAAAAAGCCCACCTTTGTACAACTACTCAACTTTTCAGATGCCATTTCCTAATGTGTCTTGAAGCAACGTTCTGAATTTGTTATTATAAACTCTCTGACAACAGGCTTCAGAAGTATAATACACTTTTTTTTATTATTTGTTCATGGCATGAGGACGTCTCTAGCTAGGTGAGCATTCATTGTGCAGGAAAATTAGGGATGAACAACGTAATGGTGAGCTGTTTTCTTGAACCACTGTAGCAATTGACGTGTAGGTATAGGGAGAGTGTTCCAGAATTTTGATCCAGTGACCATGAAGGGGCAGCGGTGTAGTTTTAAGTCAGTCTGGCTTGTGGCTCAGAAGGGAACTTTCAGGTTGTGGTCTTGCCATGCCTCTGCTGTCCTTGTAAGTGGTAGAGGTTGTGGACTTGAAACGTGCTATTTAAGGAGTTGCTGCCAAGCATCTTGTAGATGGTCTACATGCCTACTATTGTACATCAGCAGTGATTGGAGTGAATGTAGAAGGTGATGGATGAGGTGCCAATCAAATGATTGCTTTGTCCTAGATGGCTCTGAGTTTCTTGACTGTGATGAGCTTAGCAGTAAATAATTCAGTTAAAGCTGTTTTTGAATGTACTTGATCAGCTTTTAAAATACATTATGTCCTCCAACTTTATCTGTAAAATGGAACATTTAAGCCATTCCTCATAGGGGATGGGTAATAAATGCTAGTGTGCCAGTGAGGCTCATATGCCATGAAAGACAAATACATGTGTATATTTTGTGTGTGTGTCTGTTGTGTGTGTGTGTGTGTATGTTTTATATATATTATGTATAATTACAGTGAGTACTGAAGCAAAATGTTTTTCTCATGCAAAGTTCTGGCAAACGTGCTGATATAAAAGTCATTAATGAAATGTTAGATTAGTTCTTACTGTTGTGGTTTCATGGGGATAAAAGAATTTCTGCTATAAATATGTAAGTAATTTGACTTAGATAGCTCGGTTATTTAATTAATTTGCTTGTTTTTCTTTAAATTTAAAGCAAAGTCTTATGCGATGCTGTACCGTTTTTAAAATCGGAACTGAGAGACCATTGTACCTAATAGCAATTATGAACGGTAGCTTGCAGTTCATTTCTATAACACATCACCAAAAGCTAACACAGATTTCAAGAAACTGTGTGCCATAAATGTGGGAAGATGCAATTTAGGTATTTCAGTTCACTGAAGTATGAGAGACAAAACAATCTACTATAAGGATTGGAAAGAAATAAATATCAGAACACTGCCTTGAAAGTGACTTTATATTAATTAGTGTGAGGGAAACCAGAGTGACAAAGGGTCCTGGTGGGAGAGAGGAAGAGCCAGAATTAAATGTAGAAAGAAACATTTAATATCATTAAAGACAATTACCTGTCAGTGACCTCAAGAACAGGTTGAGGGGTGTTCAGTTTGTCATACGAAAAGGGTGTGGTTTCACGGGAATTATGCCTCCCTGCTTAACTTGTTGATGGATCCATGCTGCAGCTTGGGGAACACATTCCTGTTACAGCCTGTTATGGCCCCAGTAGAGGCTGATAACTTTGCAAAAAATACTTAAATTCCCAGTAACCAACTTTAAAGAATTGCATAATGTCAAAGTTTTAAGTCTCTTGCTTAGCAAGCAAACTGGAAGGAGCAAGTAACCATTACTTAGGCAACTAAACTACAGAAAAATTATTTTTATTAATGTTTTAACTTGACTGACAATGCAACTCTGTATACATGTACGTTTTATAAATGTCCTCTCAACAGGATTAAAGTCTTTTTACAGGAAACAGTCTGTGCATTGCCACATACCAATGGGTTTGAGTCTCTCAATCCACTGAGCTGTAATATCCTGACACTGCTAAAAGGTGCTTCTCTCAGTTTGCAAAGAATTCTCAAACCAACTACCAACGGTAAAGCCCACTCCAGTGATTTCTTCTCCTGGCCTTGGCATTGGTGAAGCTTTCAGAGTCATTAGAGTGTCATAGGACGATCCTTTTTGAGTGGAGATATTGTGCTTCCTCATGCATTCCACCTGGTAGCTTGCCAAGGATTCGTAACCTTGTCCACTCTGCTGATTTTTGTCTCGGGACAACCCTTCCCATTCGTTCTGTCTTAAAAAGCGTTTGCACCGAAGAGCTGTCCACTGTTATCATAGCTGCTCCTGCCTTTTGTTCTGATGTGGACATTTTGCACCTTGCCCCCAGTAAGCCTCAACTTGGACCCTATGCACATTGCCATGGTAACTAAACCATGCAAGCTTATTTTTCAATGCACAGTAGATTACATGACCCTCTTTTTATTGCTGCGTTTAATCTTGAGTTAGGGGACATGCCAAAACATAATTCATTTATAAAGCCTCATCCATAACCAGGGAGTTATGTTGTTCTAAACACAGCTAGCGGTATGCATTTCCACTTCCTCTGATTATAGAGTGTTGGTTAATGTAAAAAAGAACATTGAGGTTGGATGTAGTTCAATTTTCACGTAATCCTGAACAATTTATTCATAAGAAATACAAACACTGACCAATATGTTGGTAATTTTAATTAAAGTAGGACTGCACTGCTTTAACTTGTCATAACTGTCGACAATGTTCATGACATTTCATTTTTTTATGCAGCAAATTATTTAAGTTGCACGATATTGTAGAGAGGGTAATTTTCTTTAACAAAAAATCAACTTTCATCGATGCATCTGCAAATTTACAGGCTGATCCCAAAGAGGTAATTAATCTGGTCACGAAATATGTGACTGAAAATACAGAGATCACTTGGCCAGAAGAAGTGCAGATGCTGATTCATCACCTTTGCTATTACAATGAGTTGTTGACGGACTTCACACAAGCTCAGACGCTTCAAGGCCTTGGCAAAGGTGTGGATGTCCAGCGATTCGCAACAGATAGCCAGTATAAAAGGGAGACAATTCTGGGGTTAGCAGAGTAAGTATAACATAATTTGTTTTAAATTATTCAAATCGATTTAAGTTATGGTAAATAAAGATTCATAAATAAACACCAGCTGACTGTGTTAACCTGTAGAGTCTTTTCCACAATTCAGCAGCTATTGAGCTCCTCAACTTTTTGCTAAGCTTTTAAGAAGGAACTTAACAAAGGCAATGTATTTTTCGTAAGGGATGAAAATAAGTAAAGCTTACTCCAGCAGATTCAAAAAGGACCAGTTTAACTCTGTACCTTGAAGGTGGTCCACAGTGAGGAAAAACAAGTAAGCTGTACTGAAGTGAATGCTAGGATGATCAGTGTGATTGTTCATTGAGGATTCACCTTTTTACTTTGGACGTTTGACCAGATGAATTTCTTTGTGTTTTATGATGTGTGTGTCTGCATTTTCCTCCAGTTATGCCTGTTAGATAATAAAAAGAGGGAAGAGGGAAAGACTTTTAAAAAGGCCTGAGAGCTTGAGGAAAAATATGCCATTGAGAATACATCTACAGTATGACTTTCCAGAGTTAAGCAGCTATGAAACTTTTCAAAACATAAGTCATTTCAAAAGCATAAGATTTAAGGTAACTTAATCCTTTTATGCTTTCCCTGTCCTTTCACTTTAGCAATTACTTAAAATATGCGCAAATTACCGCAGATATTGGAAATTTGAAGTGAAAACAGCAAGTGCAGGAGAAACAGGTCTGGAAGAATCTGTGGAAAGAGAAATAGAATTAGTGGTTTTAGTCCGATGTTCGACAGAAAAGAAGTTCTGAGATTAAGAGCAGCTGTCATTTTTTTTTAAAATTAAACAAGAGGTGATGTATGAAGGTTATTGTGGCAAATTAAAGAGCTAACCGGAAATTGCAAAAACTGTGCTTAAAAGTCACCTCTGTGTTGTATTTGTGATTTAAAGAACAGATTATCCATTTATGCAAGAATAATTAATTATGGGTTTTTTTAGGACACAATATTTGACCCAATAATTTAGTGTGGAAATAATGCCAAGTTCCTTCATCATTATTGCATTGTTGTAAAGAGAACTTCATTTGTGGTGTTGATGAGATTTAAGTTCTGAAATACCCCAAATTGCTGGCCAGTTTTCAAGTAGCCTTGCCAAGCCAGTGACTATTGTTAATATCCCCACTACTATCATGAGATGTTGGATTGTGTCATTAAATACAAATGAAACTCATTCATGTAACCATTGCTTTAGGGAGACAGAAAGTGAGTTACTCATTGCAGAATTCCCAGTCTGTGATCTGCTTTTGTAGCCACAGTATTTGTATGGTTAGACAGTTCAATTTGTGATCGATGATAACCCTGGGATGTTGACAGAGATTCAGCAATGGTAATGCCATTGATCATTGAGGAGTGATTGTTAGATTCTTTCTTGTTAGAAATGACACTTGCCACTTATTGCGTATTTAAGTTACCAGAACGCTTGCAAAGGTGGGGGTTTTTAATTACAATGTAGATTGGAGAAGCTTGTATTGTTTTTCTTGCAGCAGAGGAGACTGAAGGGAGATATGCTGAGATGTACAAGATTATGACAGGTTTGATTAAGATAGATTAGGAGAAACTGTTCTCATTAACTAATGGATCAAGGACTAGGGGATGAAGATTTAAAACTTTAGGCAAGTGTTGCAGGATGGATATGAGAAGAAACAATTTTACACAGTGAATGTTAATTACCTGGAGTGGTGGAGGCAGGGATGATCAATGATTTCAAATGGAAATTTGATGGACATCGGGGGGAAAACAATAAACGCAGGGCTACACTTATCGAGAAAGGAATGGGTCTCGCTCTACCGAGAACTGGAATTGGCCAAAGGATACATTGGCCACTTAACTTTCCAGATGCGCCATTGATCTTATAAACTAACACTGAAAGCAATTTGTAGTTCTTAGTTTGTAAACTGAAGTGCGATGAGAAAATTTAACTTGCAGAGCACACCACAAGCTGGCCAGCACAGTGGTTAGCACTACTGCCTCACACCACTAGGGACCCTGGTTTAATTCCAGTCTTGGATGACTGTGTGTGGAGTTTGCACTTTGTCCCCATGTCTGCATGGGTTTCCACCAAGTTCTTCAGTTGCCTTCCACAGTCCAAAGATGTACAGGTGAGGTGGATTGGTCATGCTAAATTGTCGCACAATGTTCAGGGCCATGCAAGGTAGGTTGATTAACCATGGTAAATGCAGAATTATGGAGATACAGTGAGTTCTGGGGTGCAGATTCAATGGGCCAGTTGATCTGTTTCTGCATTGTAGGGATTCTGTGGAGATACCCCACTGAAATACATTCTGGCCACTCGAGTTTTTGATAGATTACATTCTTAATTATAAGGAAAGTTAAGTGGCCAATGGACTTATCCTTTGGCCAATTCCAGTTCTCCATAGAGCCAGTCCCATTCTTTTCTCGATAAGTGCAGCCTTGCGTTTAATTTTTCCCCCGATGTCCATCAAATTTCCATTTGAAATCATTGATCATCCCTGCTTCCACCACTCCAGGTAATTAACATTCATGTTGTAAAATTGTTTCTTCTCATATCCATCCTGCAAGTCTTGCCAAAAGTCTTAATTCTTCATCGCCTAGTCCTTGATCCATTAGTTAATGGGAACAGTTTCTCCCAATCTATCTTAATCAAACCTGTCATAATCTTGTACATCGGTAGTAAGAACTGCTGATGCTGGAGTCAGATATAACACAGTGTGGAGCTGGATGAACACAGCAGGCCAGGCAGCATCAGAGGAGCAGGAAAGCTGACACTTCAAGTCGGGACCCTTCTTCAGAAATGGGGGAGGGCTAGGGGGCTC